TAATTTGACATATGACTTGTTTAAATCTTGCTAAAAGAAAACATATCTGAAATAAGTTGCTTTTTACTTATTTCAAAAAAGCAAAAAGTAGCTTTTTTCTAACTTTTCAAAAGAGCTTCAATTTTTTTCTCCTCCAACAGTAATAGGCATTTTGTCAATCTAAACATTATTATAAAGTATACATTTTATTTTGCCTATCAACTGTTTCATGTTTCTACTCCAATCATGTTCTTTATTTTAACTATTCATCCAAATACTATTAATTTCATAAAATGCCACATCAGCAACAAAATGGAGGGAAATAATCCTTATAATTAAATACATTTTGCATAGCCTTGAAGGCTAGCTACATGTAGCTAATGAATGTGAATTGAGCTAAAATGCCTAATCATATGCTTAGTGCATTGGAGTTGAAAAAAGTGAGTCATACTAAGCATTTTACCTAACAAGCATTATATGCTTAGTGGGTTGGAGATGCTCTATTGGAGATTAAAATTAATAATTTTAGAACAATTGTCAATTTTCTAAGGTGTACATATAGATAAAATTAACAAAAATTTAGACGAAAAGACTAAAGTAAAACTAAACTTATAGTGTAAAGACCAAATTATTCAAATTAAAACTATAAGCAATAAAATAAATTTAAATCAAACTACAAGGACGAAAATTGCAAGTAACCTAAAAATAAAAATGACGGAGAATGTGGATAAAGTCCTCTCATAATAAAAATTTAATACATTTAGGACAAGTATAAAAAAATTTCTTTGAAAAGTCTAGTACATACTACTATTACCAAAATATTCATAATGACTAATTTAATATTTTAACCTTTAAAATGATATAACTTTTGATGTAGATGTTTATTTTAATAAAATTAGTATTTTTAGAATTCTCTTCTCAACATGTATCAAATAAAATCCATGTTGACTATAAAATTCTTTATAAAAAAAATTACCCTCAAAACTAACGTAAATAATAATATTTTACTCTGTTTCACAATAAAATTTGTATCACGGAAGAAATAATTCAAGAACAAATTATCCTAGTAAAATTTTATTATCATTCTTGAAGAAGACATAAAAAAACAAAACATAATACATATTAAAAGAGTAACAACAACAACAACTAAAAATGAAATTTTATTTTATATTTATAAAATAAACTTTACTTTCTCCAAATCGCCATCATCAATCCACCCAAGTCACCACCACTAAACCATCCCTCTACTAAACCAATTTTACTATTGGAGCATGTTAAACAAAATCTAAGATAGTTTAGGAAGTCTCCGACACAATATAGAAACTTTTAGGATAAGATGTGAGACCAACTATTTCATCTTCCCATCCTTTTTGTTTATCATATACTAGCTAGATCTCTAATTTCCAATTGTGAAGTCGTCAGTCCGGGAGAAAAATCACTCAGAAAAAGGCATTAGGTGATAGCGTGGAGTTTGTGGACTTTTCGTCCCAAAATAAAAAAAAATAGGGACCTAAGCCATTAAAAAAATTGTGTGGATTTAAAGAAAAGAAATACAAAATTTGACTTTTGTAAAAAAATAGATGTTGAGATTTTAATTTTTTCAATTTTAACATTAATCTTTTGATTTTTTTTTTTCAACCTAAACCGTTTACTTATTTTTATTAAGTAAATTGACAAAAGAAATGAATTTTAGTCATTAAACTCATTTGACAGCCTATATTATTCTTATAAATTGTATTTAAAAAAAAAATACACAAAACATAATTTGTTAAAATTGAAATTAACGGTGACTAGTGATATCTTTTGAACTCTCAACTTTTTACATATAACATTGTCATTATCATAATTTGTTAATTTAGCGAATTTATACTTTAATTGACTGTTTTAATAGTATTAATAATTTGATCATATGAATTATTAAAAAAGAAAAAAATAAATGTGAATATAAGTCTAATAAAAAATATGTAACCCGGTTCAATTTGATTTTGGCTTGTAAGATTTGGGCTTATGAGTGAAACGTGGTTTTAATTTTTTTAAATAAGCCCTACCAGCCCATTGATTGGTCAAAACCCAAAAAATCCATTAATATATGGGACATGAACACAATAGTTGCGGGCCGAGTAAGCCTGACCCATCCCATTGTTGACCCTTACTTTATGGGAAGAGAACACATAATCACTTTGTCTAAAACATGTGAGAAAAAATAAGAAAAAGTAGTCTCGTGGCCCTATATAATTGTAAGGATACACAACGTGATATATATAGATCGAAACTACTAAAACAAGCATCATTAATTATTGGAAAATTAGTTGTTACACACCAATTAAAAAGTATGTATAAGATTTGTAATTTTAGTTGTAAATCATGTTGATTAATTATAAGATTTGTAATTTTAGTTGTGAATCATTTTTAGGGGCCTTTTGCTCATGGCCAATTACTCAACAAAAATTGTCATGTGACTATCACATAAGACATTTTTGAGGGAAAAATTGTAATTTTATTTTATTTTCAATTTATGTTACATTTTCCTACGATAATTTTATTTTGTGCTATGTTTTCTAAACCTACTCGGAAATGGGTTGGGAGTGGTGAGTTTCAAAAATACAGCAGAGACAAAAAATAATGTAGAAAAAATTAGATTATATTAATTTCAAGCCTATCCCTCTTTCTCTCTCTCTCTCTCATTTGAAAATTGTAGCAAGCCTATTCCTCATATCAATTTAAATAGAACTGATAGATTAGTGGTATGTTGAAAATTGTGTACATAAAAATTTAAATCATACTTATTTTGAATTGTCCAAAATTTGAAAAATAATATTAAACGATGAAAATGAATATCTAGATATCTTAACTTATAATACAAAGGTTAATACTTACCTGGTTGTATCATTGACCGAATGGCACTCGATACTAAAATTAGTAACAACTCTTTAAAGAATACTCGATAGCCCAAATATATTAATTTTTTGCTGAAATTTATTTTTTCCTTTGTTTAGATAAAAAAATTATAATCTAATATGTAAATTAATTTTTTTTCTAATATATTTAGGGTCTAATTAATTTTTTGGAATAATTTAGGAGATTAAAATAAAACTTCAGAAGAGTTTCAATGCCACATCAGTAAATTTTGTTTTACTATAAACAACAATTGACAATAAAGATAAAATTGATTCAAAATCGAATTATTAAAGTATAAAATTAATATAAATATATGCAAGTTAAATTATTTTTTGAGTAATAATTTAGAAGGTAAAATGAAAATTACACTATTTGAAATCATAATAAGCCAAAGGCCCTGTAGCCTGAAAGCATATACATATAGGTTGGCTTGCCAACCAAGCGGCTCGGGTTCAAGCAATCTCCCTTGTTAATTCCCCCTACCCCCACTAACCCATAACATCTAATATTAATCTCAAATCTCTCGATTTAAAAGTCACATCTATCTAAACAGACCTAATAAATATTAAACAATTGAAGTCTACGACGTTTTGCGATGGGAAGTTACAAGTTCAATGTGTTTGTGTTACCCTTTCCCCTACTAATAACTAACACCTATTGATACATGAAAAATGTTTGAGGGCCACAATTTTTGTAGCTCAAATGGCTCGAAATTACCAAAACGACGTCGTTTTGGCAATTTCAAAGTTGTTTTGTACTCAAAACGACGTCGTTTTGGCAATTTCGAGCCATTTGAGTTACAAAAATTGTGGCCCTCAACCATTGCTGCTGATACATACCGTATGACACAAAAGATGCAATGATATTTGATATTTTTTTTTATCCCTTCAATGAAAATTTAAATAAAAATGCCTATTTATAATGGAATATGTTGTAAACTGAATTCTTAATCACTAGTTAGGAATTCTAAGCACTAGTTATTTGTGGGGTCATGATTCACTTTGTCTCTTTAATTTGCACAAATCTTTTCTTAGTATTTATTAGGTGAAGATTATATAGGTAAAAGATTATTTGTCAATTTTTTCACCACTCTTTAATTATTAATTTTTTATACACGAGGACATTGACACTAGTTGTTTATGAAAAATGCTAGAGACTCCAAAACTTTTATCAAAATTGCTACTAAATGTCTCACATGAGTACAGATCCCACACTCATGTGAGATATTTAGTAGAAATTTTGATAGAACTGAGGTGTCTAGCATTACCCATTGTTTATAGGCTTTTTTCGATGGTGTCATGCATGCTAGTATGTATTTTTGAGACTCTCTAATCCCAATTATAAAAGCACATCACAACCATTAGCTTCATCATCCAAGATTGGTAACTTAGTTTGTTATGCAACATGGGTTCATCTTTCTATGTTCATGTGTTCATGCTTTTGTGTTGTTGTTTTCATCTTTTTATAATGTTAACTAACTCTTCCTCTTCTGCGCAGCCACTATGCCCTGAAGATGAGAGTTCATCTTTACTGCAGTTCAAGCATAGCTTTTTTATTAACAAGTCTGCTTTAGGTGATCCTTCAGCTTATTCAAAGGTTGAATCATGGAAGAAGTTCGAAGGAAAAAGCGGTGACTGTTGCTCATGGGATGGCGTCAAGTGTGACCAAGACAGTGGTCATGTGGTTGGCCTCGACCTCACCAGCAGTTTTCTCTACGGTTCTATCAATTCCAATAGTAGCCTCTTCAACTTGGTTTCCGACAATCACTTCAATTTTTCTCAAATCCCACCTAGAATCGGAAACCTTTCGAGGCTAACAAGTCTAGACCTATTCTACTCTGCATTTTTTGGTCAAATCCCTTCAAACATCTCATATCTTTCAAAGTTGATTTACCTCGATCTCTCTGGAAATGAGCTCAAACTTGAAAACCTAATTTGGAAGACCTAATTCAAAATCTTACCAACTTGAAGGTACTTGACCTCTGTTGGGTGAATATATCTTCTACAGTGACTCGTGCTTTGACGAATATGTCTTCACTAACAACTCTTTTTCTTAAGAGTTGTCAGTTGTATGGTGAATTCCCAAAAACCATTTTTCAACTACCAAACCTTCAGATTCTAAGCATGGCTGAAAATGACAATCTCACTGGTAATCTGCTTGAATTTCACCGTAGTAGTCCCCTAAAGGAATTGTCAACATGGGGGATAAGTTTCTCCGGAATTGTACCCGATTCAACATGTAACCTTGAATCCATAAGTTTTTTGGATTTATCAGGATGCAATTTTTCTGGGATGCTTCCAGCTTCGCTCGGTAGTGTGACCAAACTCACTGTTTTGGACCTTGGTTCGAACCAATTTTGGGGGCAAATTCCTACATCGCTGGGAAACCTATCACAACTAACTTTCTTAGACCTTCGTGAAAATAATTTTGATGTACCAACTTTACCTTTGACACTTGGTAAGCTATCCAAACTCACTAGATTATACCTTGTAGATATAAAAATACGTTGTGAGATACCACAGTTTCTAGCTAACCTGACTCAACTATCCCGTATGTCTCTCAATTCAAATGAATTAGTTGGTCAAATTCCATCTTGGCTTATGAACCTCACCAAAATAAATCTTTTAGAACTCTCAGACAATCAACTACAAGGGCATGATTCCAAGCTCAATATCTCAACTCAAGTATCTTGAAGATCTTAATTTTGCTGGAAACAACTTGGGTGGTAAAGTCGAGCTCGACATTTTTTTGAAGCACCGAAACATTCTTCACCTTGATTTGTCAGCCAACAAATTAACGGTGCTTACCAAAAATAGTACCAATGCTACTATTCCGAAGTTTAATATCCTAGGATTGGCATCGTGTAACTTGAAGAAGTTCCCCAATTTCCTACAGTTCCAGGATGAATTAGAGATGTTCTCTTTTAGTGATAACAAAATTCATGGTGAAATACCAACTTGGTTTTGGAACAAATCGAAAGAAACTATGGTAATGGTCGACCTTTTGCAGAATTTTCTGACAGGTTTTGAACAGCATCCAGATGTCATTCCATGGTGGTCACTAATATCTTTAGACCTCAGCTTTAATATATTGCAAGGATCACTACCAATTCCACCACCGTCCATCCATGTTTATCAGGTCCCTGGTAACTTTTAATCTGGAGAAATTCCACCATCAATAATCTATCACAATAGTTCTCTTCAAATTCTTGATCTGTCTGATAATAACTTGAGTGGCACAATTCCTGAATGTTTGTCCAATTTTAGTGCTTCTCTGTTAGTGCTCAATCTAAGTCTCAACAATTTTCACGGCACTATTCCTCACATGATGGGATCAACTTGAAGATGATTGATCTAAGTCAAAATCATTTACATGGGTTGGTGTCAAGATCATTGGAAAATTGTACATTGCTTGAGATTCTTGTTCTTGGAAATAATCAGATGAAGGATACTTTTCCCTCTTGGTTGGGAGCACTTCCTATGTTACAAGTTCTTATTTTGTGATCTAACAACGTTTCTCAAGCCAAATTAAATTTTGTAAAATTGCGCATCATTGACCTCTCTGACAATGGTTTCTCAGGAAACTTACCGTCAGAATACTTCGAAAACTGGAATGCAATGATAATGGTCAAGAGAAAAGTTAACATATATGCAGGCAAGTCAAGAAGTTCCAATTGCAACTGTAAATTTAAGATTGATAACCTCAACTTTGTATATGCCACCTTACACGTATTCAGTAACAATGGACAACAAAGGCACTGTACGAGCATGAAATAATCTTATTGTATAATCCTGTTGATCAAGTTTGCACTCCTCCAAATGTCGTCGCTTTACTCCTGAAAATACCAACTTGAGCTAGCCGGCAGGTGTGTGTCGGATACCTCTCCGATGCCTAGGTCCGCAAATAGACAATAGACTAAAAGCTCTGTGTATTTGAGAGTCAAAGTTGTGATACCTGCCTATAGGTCCTGCTATGAGCTTTTATAGATTCTGTCTGGCACAATCCTAGTAGGATTTCAACTCTCCTTATAAGATTTCTCCTAGGAATCACAAATCCCTAGCACAATCCTAGTAGGACTCTAACTCTCCTTAGCAGAGTCCTCCTAGGAATTACTTTCCCAAGGATAATGCATATCCTGATAACACCCTACTCACTGCTAGCCAAGTGAGATGGCTTTCCCCTTTGTCTAGTCCGGTGCAACATAACCGAACTAACTCACTTCGGTCACACCCCCAACTAAGTAATGAAGTGGAGGCATCGACAGAGTTACACCTAGTTCGGCCCTCCATCTTACCACACACCTCGGCCAGCCCTTGGGCCTAGTTTTAGGTAGCTCGGTCAACCCATTTGCCCAGTTTGGTACTTAGACAAAAATGGGACCGAGCAACTTGACGTCCATACTCCAGCATTTAGTCCGACCCAAAACAGAGATTAAAGGAGCACGACTCAGCCCAATTTTTTGTTATAAATTACCCTCTCAATTGCCCCTTAATTCCATCTGCAACGCATGATTTGGGATTATTCTTCGCCAGCCGAGCTAAAACATTCAAGCCAACTGAGCTCACTTTCTACCGAGCTACCGATTTGCCCGGTTCATAAACATCTTGTCAATTGCTCTTCACGCCATTCCGCCTCCCAAGCACGTCTGAATTGTTATCTATTCCCCTGGATACGTGGCTTGCTCCCACTAGTCAAGTACAACTGTCACAGCCGTCTTTATACCTCGAAAATTTTGAACAGTCCCACCAATTTTTGTGCTTTAAACAAAAACCCCTCTTTTGAATCAAAACACTCCCCTATTCATCTTCTCTCTCTTGCCTTCTGAGTATCCATACTCACGACCCTAGCACCTGCAAAGCTCGTGTTTTTGGTTGGCATCCCGCTGTCTTGATCTCCGTCCTTTCATTTTGAAACTGTAAGTGGCTCAATCCCTTTTTTTCCTTTTCATTTCGTGAGTATATAAATAGTATAGAGAAATATATATATATATATATCATATATATTTTTCAAAACACCCTCCTGTAGTTTTCACATAAATGGGTAAGGATCACTAAATCCCCAAAAACCACACACCCAGACCTCAATGACACTTTAGCTGGGTTCTTAATCAATCTGGAATACGATCCTTTTTTATCCAATAAAACACCACGACCGAGATAGGAACTTGTTTGTGATAGGTGCGTACTTGACCGAACTAGAAAACCTCACCCAAAAACCGAACTAGGTACCTCCAACCGAGCTAGCGGCCTTGTCTTGGCCCTTCTGTACGACCGAACTGAGAACTCCCCGTCATTCGGATGTAACCGAGCTAAGCCTTTACAATTCTTCTGTAAATTGACTGTTTACTTAGTCCGGTCCAGTTGTCTGGGCATAACACTTCTTATTTCCACTTTGCAGACTTGACTTGGTTGGCCAGGCAAGCCCTTGCACCCTGCCCCTAGGCAGCTTTGCTCAACCGAGCCAACCAAAGCCTCAGTCGCGCCGAGCTAGGCTTAATTTATTTATAACTTTAAGTTAACATGGGTAAATACCGGTTTCTAGTGGACTCTCTTGGGGCCAAGACCGAGTTCCGAAAGGACTATCAAATCCTGATGACGTTTATCTTCATCTCTCCCTAGCCGAACTAGAAATAACACCCTGGGGCAAACCGAGCTTTCGTCCCGTTTACCGTGATATCGATTGTAGAGGATGGCCTTCGGTTTCCCGTTCAACCACTTATATGTGAATTCCTTAGGCAAACAAAACTTTGCCCAACCCAACTTTCCACAAACAGTTATAGGATAATAAATGGCATGCCAAGCTAAACCGTCGGCTCAGCCTCAACCTCGTATCGGCTGAGCTCTTTCATTAGTACTCGCTCGGCCAAAATGACGATGGTTGGGTATACTACCTCAAAATAAGAAGAGGCCGAGAAAAAATCATAAAGAACACACCGGACAAAGACTTAAATGACGATGATTTCTTTTGGGTTTCTGGAAATTTTGAAGACCAGGAAGCCCAAATACCGGGCTACAGTATAAACTGCAACAAAGGAACTACTGGTAAGAATACTTCGGATCAAACTTACTTTGCTGTCCCAGCTTACCCACTGTGCTAACCCTTGGTTTTCTTTTGTGCAGACTTAAACCAACCAACTAAAATTTCAATACTAATATGCCAATCAAGACGCCCTTCGTGCCACGCTCCAATACCGTAATCGAGGTTGGGCCGAGCTACTAAACTTTGAGCCGACCTACCGGTATAGTAGAAAGAGGAAGGTCAGGGTAACTAACTTTCTTCTGGAACCGTCACCAGAACTGAACCCAAACTTGCCACAAATCAACCTCATTCCCCTTACTGAAGAATAAGAAATGGCCAAGCGCTGAGCTGTTCGAGCCCTGATCACTGAACAAACTTCCACAAAAATTGCCGAGGTTCAGACCGAGGTGCCATAGGCCAGTCAGACACATGAGGCAGGGTAGCCCTCTCCACAACCTGAGTTTTGTCATCTCGGCCAAGCAAACAGCCTCGTACATAAAGCTTGAGGGATGAGGATAAGCCATCCCAAATCGAGCTTCAAGAAATAACACTCTCCCAAGGTCGTAACTAACCTAGCTCTTCAAATCCTCCCACCCCGCCAGCGTGGGCACCAACAGCCACATTCGGGGGTCACACTATTATGGCCTCTGACTCTGTCAACGCCGAGAAGGACCACCTATTAGCCTTCAACCTAGCAAAGAGTGTCTGCCTTCCCGTCGACATGAAGCGACATGAGGGCTTGACCGAGCCGAAGGCCATTCGCTCGGCATCAAAATCGATGATTCTGGTAAGTCCCAAAAATCCCATCAAACTTTGAAAAAAACATTTGTTACAGTCCTAGTGCATTGGTTGTCGTCTAACTGCCCTGAACTATGCAGGCCCTGCAGAAGAGTCAAGTGGCTCACAAACGAGTAGTTGGGCTCCGGAAGATGGCGCGGTCAGCCGTCGCCGAGGCAGAATCCAAGGCAGCCGAGCTAAAAGATGCTCAAGCCAAGCTGGCCGAGCTAGAGGCCGAAAACTCGAGACTTGCCAGACTGGTCTGCTCGGCCGAGGCTGACAAACAGAAGGCCTTAGCTGAGCAAAAAGACCGTTATCTACGTGAGCTGGCCAAACTAGAGAGGAAGAAGAATGCCGAGCCCGAGCTGGAGGACCTAAAGACAAAAATACATGAGGCAAAGGACCGAGGCTTTAAAGAAGGAGAGGAGACTTATGTCAAACAGTGCAAAGCCGCAAGGATATCTTCTTCAAGTGCGGTAGAAAGCCGCTGCTGAAAAGCTCGGTTACGGACGCGACTCCGAAGTCTTCATGCATCCCCCTCCCCACTTCATACCGGGCTACATGGCGGACTATGCCAATGCGGTCCAACAAAAGTTCCTTCAGGAGGGGAAGAAGGATGAGGTCCCAACTCCTCAGAATGCGTCCAATACTTAGATCGGCTGGCAGTCTGCCTCTCCTACTCCAGTGGACTCAAGCCTACCCTTGCACGCTGCAATCAACGAGGCACTTTCGACCCAGCCCAACCAAGGTGCTGACCCCGTAGCCGAGCTACCAGTAGGCAAAATCCAGGTTGATTTGGATGCCGATTTGGATGATTTGTTCACTTGATTTTCTTTTTTTCTTTTGATGTTTGTTTCAAATGAAACTGTAACCAGTCTCGAGCCCCTCCTCGTGTAATGATCTTTCACAAATGGAATGAAATTTGCTATTTTCCAATCTGTTTGTTCTGTTTATGCTTTACTTTATGTATTTATCTTTCAACTTTAATCGCGTCAGGTTTGGGCTCTTTGCTCGGTCGTTCTGCTCTAAAGTTTTCTGGCCAAGGTAGTTATCCCGGTCTACAAAATTGGCATTCTGTATATTTAACTTTTTTTAGCCTAGATCCCTATCTCGGCTAAGGAGAGCTAAGGGTCTGTTTGGTAACGTTTACGTTTTTAGTTTATATTTACAAAAATTTTATAAATAGGTTTTTGTTTATTTTTTTTTATTTTTAAAAAAACATAAACTAGAAATGCGTTTGGTAATTGACAAAATGTTTAAAAAATTTAAAAATATAAAAAAGAGTGAGAAATGGCAAGTGGTGGCAAGTGGCGGCGGAAAATGGTGGTAGAAAGTGGTGACGGTGGGTGGCGGGTGGTAGGTGGTAGCGAGTGGGTGATGGTGGTACTGGCGGGTGGTGGTGGCTGGTAGGTGACGGGTGGTGGTGGTGGTGGTGGTTGCAGTCCATGTTTCATGGCCATGCACTTACATTTTTTGCTCATTCAATGCGTTGGAGGGTTTGCCCCTTTATGCCTTAACATGAACCATTGCGTATGCCTTCATGCCGTTGCTTGCGAGCTATCATTTCGATGTGTTTTTGGGGTTATTTTGCCATGATATAACTCTGAATTTTGCTGGTTAAGTCATCCCTTGCTTGGTCCTAATAGGTGTAGTGTAATCCACCTTATTTGCCT